TTAGGGAGGGGGAGATAGACACACACACATTGATTTAAGAGAGACACATCAATTGGTTGCCTCCCACACTCACCCTGACCAGGGCCAGGGATTGAACCTGCAACCCAGATATATGCCCTTGACCGGAAATCGAACCCATGACCCTTTGGTGCGAGGGCCGGTGCTCTAACCACTGAACATACCAGTCAGGGCCAGTTATCATGTCTGCCTAACACATTTTGGAACCTATTTTAGGCCACTATTTAGGCATCTCAAGGCCTGATGAGAGCCAATGGAGTGTGTTGGAGGAAGTCCTTTTGAAACAGGGTTCTATTTTTGGAGGCAGTGGTGGAATGTTCTTTCTGCTCCTTTGGGAACGTTTCAGCTAATGCTTCTTGCCCCTTCCCTTGGCTAGCAAGCAGCAGAGTGGAGGGTGCAGGGAGGTAATTTATAATAGTCACATAACATCAGGGTATGGGAAGGATGAGCAGAAAGGGTGATAAAAGTACTGATGAAAGCATGGACAAGTATCTAATTCTGTTAAAGCACCTTCTCCTCCCAATCTAAACTTTACCTTACTTACCTGGAGTTTCTAATCCATTTGCTCTCACCATCATCAGATATATTCTAGCATTGTGACCAGAGAAGAGACCTGTTATAGCATAGGAAAACTCGTTTAGCACCTGGGTTTTGTTCGGAAGCAGAGATAGGTTAGAGAGAAATAGATAGGCTGTTAAAGCTTATCTGAGGACTAATAGATGGGAGTGGCGAGGTATTCATTGTATTAAATAAAGAGTGAGAGAAAATTAATCAGCAGCCTTGAATGTCTTTTGTGTGCAAAGCCCAGCACTTGTGGGCTTTGCACAAAGTACTAAGTAGATTGGTTTTTACCCTTGGGGATACTCTCAGTCTCTTGAAGGAGATAAGACTATCCCTATACTTGTAACAGTGATCTGTAACCCCAAACTGATACAGTCAGGTAACACTACAGTGGTAAGGGAGATGCTGGAAGAAATGGGTAGCTGGAGCCAAATAAGTTTAAGGAAGTCCTGAAAGGTGAGTTTATAATAGGATTTATTTTTATTGTAAGTTTTTTTTATCTTTTTTTATTTTAGAGAGAAGGGAGAGAAACATCAATCTGTTGTTCCACTTATTTATGCATTCATTGGTTGATTTTTTTTTTTTTTTTTTAGAGAGAGAGAGAGTGGGAAGGAGGGTGATAGAGAGAAACATTGATGTGAGAGAGACACATTGAATGGTTGCCCCCCATTGGCACTCAGACCGGGGCCAGGAATAGAACCTGCAACCCAGGTACGCGCCCTTGATCGGGAATTGAACCTATGACCCTTTGGTGCGCAGGCCGACACTATCCACTGAGCCACACCAGTCAGGGCTATTGGGTTTATTCTTGTATGTGCCCTGACTGGGGATTTAACCTGCAACTTTTGTGTATTGGGACAATGCTCTAACCAATGGAGCTACCCGGCCAGGGCTATCATAGGGCTTAGGAGAGAGGGAGGAAAACAGAAAGCTGAACTGTCCTGAACGCCCTTTTCAGAGGTGCCATGACCTAATGAACCAAAGGCAGGAAGAAGTTCTGTATTTGCAAACATAATGGGAATTTAGGGGAAAAATTCTTCTAGGGACTTGAGTGGAGTCTTGAAACTTGGGTTGTATTTTAAGATGGAAAGCGGAGTGAGTGATGAGTATTAACTGTAGCAGAGATGTGCTACTACTACTCGGAAGAATAGGGCCAGATTCTGAGAGGCCTTGAAAACCAGCCTCAGGATCTACTTGAAACGCCCTAACCGGTTTGGCTCAGCAGATAGAGCGTCGGCCTGTGGACTCAAGGGTCCCAGGTTCGATTCCGGTCAAGGGCATGTATCAGGGGCATGTACCTTGGTTGCGGGCACATCCCCAGTATGGAGTGTGCAGGAGGCAGCTGATCGATGTTCCTGACTCTCTATCCCTCTCCCTTCCTCTCTGTAAAAAATCAATAAAATATATTTTAAAAAAAAAGAAACAGTAGGCAGTAAATAAAGTCATTCCAAGTTGGGGGGAAGTTAGGAAGTAGTAGAAAATGGTAAAAGAGGAAGGGTCCCTGAAGCTTATCCCAGGGAACTTGGGGCCGATGGGGATGTGAAGATTCTAAGTAGGGAAAGGCCATGAATGGACCACAAAGAGTTTGTTGTGCCGTGAAGACTGACCAGCGGTTTCTCCTTAGGAAGTCATGAGGGACCCTGTGAGCAGCCAGTACAGCTCCTTTCTTTTCTGGAGGATGCCCATTCCCGAACTGGATCTGTCGGAGCTGGAAAGCCTGGGTCTGTCAGACACATCCATCTACAAGGTCAAGGACAGCAGCGCTGGCAAAATGACCGGGCAAGCCACCGACACAGAGCAGGAGAAACACCCTGAGGGCGATGCCCTCCTTCAGTACAGCACCTTCAACTTCTGGAGGGCCCCCATCGCCAGCATCCACGCCTTCGAACTGGACTTGCTCTAAGCCCGAGCCTTCTCTCCCACCATGCCTGCACTGTCTGTCCACCCCTTCCCCTATTAATCTTGCTTTCTTCCCTCTATTGTGTTGAGGTGGTGCTGATGAATTTGCCAGAGCTGTGTCTTATTTATTTATTTATTTATTTATTTAATGTATCAGTTTCTCTCAAAAGCCCTCAAGTCACAAAGTAAAGGGTTCAAGCAATGGAGTAGTCTCCCCGCCCCCGCCCCAGTCCATATTAATGGGGGCACCAGAGAGTAGTATCGTAGTGTAAAATGGAAGGGCTGATTTTCTGACCTCATTTGAGATTGTTCCAATTTTCCTAATGTCTTGCTCTACGCCAGCAAACACAAATATTTCTTCAAGGGTTGAAGAGAAAATTTTGAGATTATCTGCTACAAGACAGTAGGATTTCTAAAAGGCTAAGGTGATAAGAAGCTAGCTTTTTTGATTCTGCTCCTTCTTGTAATAAATTCTTTTTCTCAGAGAAATTGGGGGTAAAGGTATAAAACAAGAGGAGTAATGTATCTTGGAACATGAAAATAGGGGAAAGCCCTGATCGTTTCAGAAAACAGCTACACTCTCTCGAAAGGGTGTTTCTCCGTCAAGCCTCCTCACTTTACTATTTTGTTCCTAACCGTGGGTTGAAAACTCTTGAGGAAAGTCACTCGATTTCAAATCTTAAGATGCAATCTTGCTGACTATTGTGGTAACTGGTAGGGTTTGGATTCTGTTCCTAAAAGGCCTTGGGCGGGTCCTTAGCTTAGGCTTGCCCTCCTGCATTTGCGACGTGTGTTGATCAAGGGGCCTCAGCTACCTTAGGACCATGAAGCGAACAACCACATTCTGACCCCACAGCCTGTTCCCACTCCTTCCAACGTTTCTGCTGCTGGTTGTGATGCATTTACTCATTTCTTTAATAAACACATTCAACCCCAGGACTGCATTCTAGTTTTCTCTCTCCACCGGAAAGCAGTATGGATCTCAAACGTTAGCCTTGCTTTCACATTCAGCTTGTGTGTGTGTGTGTGTATTTAAAATTTACTGATTTTTTTACAGAGAGGAAGGGAGAAGGATAGAGAGTTAAAAACATCTTGATGAGAGAAACATCGATCAGCTGCCTCCTGCACACCCCCTACTGGGGATGTACCCGCAACCAAGGTACATGCCCTTGGCCGGAATCGAACCCAGGACCCTTCAGTCCGCAGGCCGACGCTCTATCCAGTGAGCCAAACCGGTCAGGGCATAGCTTGTATATTTCTTTCTTTCAACTTTAAGGAAGAATGATTTGAGTAGCGTTTACACATGAAAATGATTAACTTCTGGTTGGAAAGGTAGGTAACCAGGGTGAAATCCACGTAGAACTATTTAGGGAGGAAGCTGTGACCGATCACTGCCTGCCCCCAGGCGGCCCACCTGTTTGAGGGGGTCATTCCAGGCGCCTCGGAAGGCAGGCACCGTGGCTCGCAGTCTGCTCTGCATCTCGGCCTGGTGCCCCAGACAACCAACAAGTGCACCCAAATGTCACCCGCTTGCTTAAAACGCTCACTTAAAAAAACCACCACCCCGCAACCACTTGTGCTCATTTCCAAGTCGTGTTTGGGTGCCGACTCCAGGGAAAGGCACGGAGCCAGACAGTATGATGTCAGCGGGAATGAAACAACTTAAAAAGGGCAGCCGGACATACGGACATGGGCAGCGCCTGGGCGACGTGCTGCCAACACTGCCCACGATGACATGAAGCCGACCTAGGTAAGTCCAGGAAAGGGGGGGACTCGCAGATCTGCCTCGCAGGCCAGGAGAGGCCAGCCGTCCAAGTCAAAAGCCAAACCCTAATAGAGGATGGATGGGTCCGTGACGTGTCCTTTCCTCGTGGCGCCTGCTGGGCAGAGGCAGGCTACAATGTTTGGTAAATGAGACACCGGGATGGATTTGCAAACTCATGCTCCATCGTTTTCCAGCCCCCGCCCCCCAGAAATGCCTCCGTTACTGGTTTCCCTGTTCGCGCTGACAGCTGGGCTCCGGGTCCTTCCGCTCAGGCCGGTAGGGGAACCATGTCCGCCAGGCACAGGAGTTCGTTCTCGCGCAAAGCCAGGTCGTCCCCCTCAGCCTGGCCCTCGGTGGGGACGCGGGAAGAAGGCTTCTCCATCCTTAGGGCTGGCCTCCCAAGAAGCCAGCAAAGAGGAGCAGGACCGGCGCAGAATCGCCTTCCCTTTAGCGGTTCGCCTGGTTCTTGGCGCCAAAACAAGCCGCGGGCCCGTCCCCTGCCGGGTCTATGCGGCACGTACGACACGCCATCGAAACCCTCCGCGTCGCCAAAGAGTCCCGCCGAGGATTTCCCCGCATACACGCTTTCCCACCGCCGAGAGCCTTCGGTGGATAGCAAACGAGCCTCCGAGGTGCATCATCCTTCTGTTCGAATGGAAATGCAGGTTCCATCCTCGTTTTTTCTTCACAGATCCCTCCGCCAGAAATTGTTTTCCGCAGTCTCTACTTCCGGGTCCGCCATTTTGTTGCCTCCATTTCTCCACGAGGGGGGTTAAAGGCCCCCAAAATATGCATAGGTGAAAAGGCCAAAAAGTAACCGTCACTGACAGGGAGTCTAAACGAGAGGAGGAGACGGCACCAAACTGGCGGGTTCGGCGAGAGCGCCACCGGCGGCGTCCCGGACGAGGAGGTGAGGGGGAAGAGAAGATGCGTGGACCGGGGGTGTGGGGGGCTCGCGGGAGGGGGCCGTGGAAAGTTGCACCGCTTCCCGGCACAGCCCCGAACTTCCGGGCGCGGACAGAGCGGCGCCCCTTCGTCGGAGCGGGGGAACCTGGGGCCGGGGGACGCAGAGGAAGGGGATGCTGCCGGGAGGAAGGGGAGGGGACTGGGAGGAGGTGAAGGAGGGGGTGGGTGCAAGACCCGGGGCTTGGAGCTGGACCGAGGGAAGCCCAGGCCGCCGAGGTGACCACTAGGGGGCAGCGCGGAGCCTGGGCCGGGCTGCTGCCTCCGCGGAGACCTGGGCTCCGGGGCTCTTCCCGACAGACAGACAGACCATTAGGAGAAAACGGGGACTAAAGCCCGGCCCCAGCAATAGCCTGAAGGTTATCAGTGAGCACGCTAATCCGAACAGGGGGCTAAGGGCCCCGCCTCCGGTTCTTTTTTTTTTTTTTTTTTTTAAGAGAGAAAGGGCCCTGGCCGGTTTGGCTCAGTGGATGGAGCGTCGGCCAGTGGACTGAAGGGTCCCAGGTTCGATTCCGGTCAAGGGCATGGACCTTGGATGCGGGCACATCCCCCATAGGAGATGTGCAGGAGGCAGCTGATCGATGTTTCTCTCTCATTGATGTTTCTAACTCTCTATCCCTCTCTCGTCCTCTCTGTAAAAAATCAATAAAATATATTTTTTTTTAAAAAAAGAGAGAGAGAAAGGAAGGAAGGGAGAGAAACATCGTTTTGTCGTTCCACTTCTTTATGCGTTCGCCGCTTGCGGCTTGCCTGTGCCCTGGGGACCAGCCTGCAGCCCGGGTGCCTGGGGAGGAGGCTCGGACCAGCTGAGCCTCAGCCTCCAGTTGCACAGTCGTTTGTACAGCTGGCGGCTCAGTGGGGACACGTGTGATAGAAAAAGGGAAAATCAAGAAGGTCAGACCGTGGTTTCCTCAGTGCCAGTTCTCCTTGCAGTTAGCTGTCTCTCTGCTCATAGCTGTACTTACGCCAACAAAGATCATCCCCACCCGATTTCTTCTATCAACCAACGTAATTAGTCTCTAATTACTGGCTAATAATAGAGTACTTTGTTGTCAAGAGCTCAAGCACTTCATTATTGAAACACGGTTATTGAAAGCTCTTGTGAGTGTGTGTGTTTGGGAGGGGATGTGGGTGTTTTATGCATCTTCAAAGTCCTGAGAGTCAAGTTAGATCAAATTTTGTTTCTTCACTTTATATGTAGGGAAAGTGGAGATATATACAGTAAACGGAGAATGTTTTCCCTTACATCTTTTTTCTTTCTTTTTTTTTTTAAACAGTGATTTTTAGAGAAAGAGGAAGGGAGAGGGAGAGAGAAACATCGATGAACATTGATGAACGTTGATGTGAGAGCGTAACATCAATCAGCTGGCTGCCTCCTGCACAACCCCCACAGGGATGGAGCCCACAATCCGGGCATGTGCCCTTGAACTGGCAACCTCCCAGGACACTGGACGACGCCCAGCCAACTGAACCACACAGGACAGGGCTCTTAGATTACATCTTTTATCTGGTGGGTCCTGGGAGAATGGCACTTAGTCCCCACAAAATGCTGTTATTTTAAAAATACATTTAGCCCTAGGTGGTTTGGCTCAGTGGATAGAGTGCTGGCTTGCAGACTGAAGGGTCTCAGTTAGATTCCCGTCAAGGGCACATGCCCAGGTTGGGGGCTAGATCCCCAGTAGGGGGCGTGCAGGAGGCAGCCGATCCATGATTCTCCTCATTGATGTTTCTGTCTCTCCCTTCCTCTCTGAAATCAATAAAAATATATTTAGGGGTGGGGGAATAAGAAAAAAATTCTCATCAGAGCAGTGAGGATTTTTTTTTTTTTTAGAGAGAGAGTGGAAAGGATGGGGTAGGGAGGGAGAGAGAAAGGAGAGAGAAATGTTACATCAATTGGTTGCCTCATATGCGCCCCAGCCAGGTGAGGGGATCAGCCCTGTAACCCAGGTACATGCCCGTGACTGGAATTGGAACTGGCAACCCTCCAGTGTGCAGGCCGTTGCTCAAACCATTTGGCAACACCAGCCAGGGCAAGGTTTATATTTAATTGTGCAAAGTCCAATGTAGGTGCCACACTTCTGAGTAGCTCTTTTAAACAATCAGCTCGGAGAACTGGGCTTCTCTCGTCCTGTGGCCCTTCTGTCACATGGTCCAGTCTTGGTGTGGCTTCTATAAATCCTTGGTTGTAAGACTTCTGTTCAGCAGTCTTCAATTGGTTATTCAGGTTGATTGTTCTATAATTTTGTTGTAATTCCAATTTGGGCCTGGGAGGAAGTGAATGTAATTTCCACTTACTCCTCAGCCATCTTTTTCCCTCTCTTCCTACCCCTGTATGATTTTATAACATGCATTGGTCATTTGAAAAATATTGGTTCACCAGATTATGCAGATTATCCAAGTGTTGATGCATTTTATTACCCAATATTGGAAAAATTCACACTCATTAGTGTCACCATGAATTTCATCAAAAAGTTTGTAGTAAACTTCAACTCATGGTGGAGGTGTATTTCCCCAAATTCTAATTTTTGCTTGAAAGCTGAAATTATAATTGATAATTGGCAATAAATACTGTCGTTTGTTTGCTTTGAAGTGGGAGGTTCACTCTGTTCATTTTTTAAAAAGTGTTTGCCATATACCTTGGCTTGTCTACTTGTCATTCTTTCCTGTGACATATTTCTACCCATGGTCATTTCAAAAGGATGAAATGCTGTTTTATTGATCCCTTAAACTAGAAAGGTCGTAATGTGATTGTTGCATTTATTATCATCATCATTATTATTATTATTGTTCTGGAGATTATTAGTGAGGGAAATGTTGTTTGGGACCTGAAATTTTTCCAAATATCTAATTGTTTGTGTTAGATGATGAGGAAATGCCCTACCAGAGAGTCACCTTGAAAAGTATATTAAAGTACAAGAAGTCTTCTGAAACCATTTTACAGACAGCTCTCCTTATGTTTGAGTTACAGCTTCCTGCAAACTTCTGTTCCTATGCATAAAGATGTCTTTGGTGGACTTGGGGAAGAGATTGCTAGAAGCAGCAAGAAAAGGCCAAGATGATGAAGTGAGGACATTGATGGCAAATGGTGCCCCGTTCACCACCGACTGGGTAAGTTCTCTTGATTATTCCCAATGTGTGCTGTTACCAATCTTTTTCCTTTACTTCCTTTTTTAAAAAATTTTTTTATTGATTGATTTGAGAGGGGGATGGGGAAACATCTTTGTTTTTCCACTTATTTACACATTCATTGGTTGATTCTTTTTTAAAAAATATATTTTTTATTGATTTTTTACAGAGAGGAAGGGAGAGGGATAGAGAGTTAGAAACATGGATGAGAGAGAAACATTGATCAGCTGCCTTCTGCACACCCCCTACTGGGGATGTGCCCGCAACCAAGGTACATGCCCTTGACTGGAACCGAACCTGGACCCTTCAGTCCGCAGGTCAATGCTCTATCCACTGAGCCAAACCAGTTAGGGCCATTGGTTGATTCTTGTATGTCCCCTGACGGGATAGAACCAGAAACCTTGGCATATCAGAACGATGCTCTAACCAACTGAGCTACCTGGCCAGGGCACCAATCTTTTTCTTAAAGGCTAAAAAGACTTCATTGATTTTTTTTTAAATTCACTTTCTGCCTTATTCTCACAAAGTTTTATTTTCTTTCTCTCATCTAAATATGTGGTTTTCATTTTCTTTTAGTTTTCCAAATTGAAAGTGTCTCCTATGGATGTATAGATGGTAATTGTAAAGGTATTATATACTTGTGGTTTTCTATAATGCTTTTCAGAGTATTTTCCAAAAGTTTAATTCTCCCTGTAGTGTACTTGGGTTATAGGCTTCTGTAATTAGCTAGAAATTAAACAAAATCAGTATAATAAAAGTACATTTCTAAACTAATAAACTATTTATTTCCTTTTCTCTAAAATGTCCTGATTAATAAGAAATAGTCTAGCCCAGTCGGTGTGGTTCGGTGGTTGAGCGTCAACCTATGAACCAGGAGGTCTCAGAGCACATGCCTGGGTTTCAGGCTCGATCCTCGGGGGGGCGGGGGCGGGGTACGGTGCAGGAGACTGCTGATCAGTGATTCTCTCTTGTCATTGATGTTTCCATTTCTCTCTCCCTCTCCCTTTCTCTCTGAAATCAATTTAAAAAAAAAAAAAAGGAAGATGTAATTTTATGATCCTAGACAGCCAGCTTGGAGAGCAGAATTTTAGAAGATCCAGGTCCAGATTATAACATGGGCTTCCTTAGCATCCATAGATTTTGTAAACATTGCCTAATTTTAACAATGCAGTGAGTGAGTGTCCTCTTTTCTGGAGTGGTTAATTCGTAACTTGAGAGGCCAGCAGGTTCTTTTTTTTTTTTTTCTTAATCCTCACCCTAGTATTGTTTCTTTATTGATGAGAGAGAGAGAGAGACAGCGATGTGAGAGAGAAACATTGATTGGTTGCCTTCCTCAGGTGCCCTGAGCACACAACCCTGCAGTACACAGGAAGATGCTCTAACCAACTGAGCCGCACTGTCCAGGACTGAGGACAGCAGGTTCTTAGCACTTCACTGAAAGGAAGAAAGGAAACCCATGAGATTAGCATTTTTATAAATAGGCCTGAAAAGAGCAATGTGAATTAAATCCAATCAGGCAGAGAGGCGAATATATGAAAAGCAAAGTATAAGTGAAGTAGGCTTAAAAATAAACCAGCATAAAGCAAAGACAGGAATAGGTTTCTGGCTAAAGTGGATGCTGGTAACTCTTACAAGATTTCCTTTGAGATGATATAGACTTGTTTATTGCTAAAACTTTTTAAAATATGTATTTTATTGATTTCAGAGAGGAAGGAAGGGGAAGAGAGAGATAGAAACATCCATGATGAGAGAGAATCATTGATCGGCTGCCTCCTGCAAGCCCCCCACTGAGGATCGAGCCCAAAACCCGGGCATGTGCCCTGACTGGGAATCAAACCAGTGACTTCTTGGTTCATAGGTTGATGCTCAACCATTGAGCCACGCCCAGCTGGGCTTGATTGCTAAATTTTTAAAAAATATATTTTATTGACTTCAGAGAGGAAGGGAGAGGGAGAGAGAGAAACATCAGTGATGAGCCCTAGCTGGTTTGGCTTAATGGATAGAGCATAGGCCTGCGGACTGAAGGGTCCCGGGTTTTATTCTAGTCAAGGGCACATGCCCAGGTTGCAGGCTCGATCCCCAGTAAGGGGTGTGCAGGCAGCAGCCGGTCAGTGATTCTCTCTCATCATTGATGTTTCTAGCTCTCTCTCCCTTTCCCTTCCTCTCTGAAATCAATAAAAACATATAAAAAAATAGAAAGAAACATCAATGAGAGAATTATCGATTTGCTGCCTCGTGCATGCCCAACACTGGGAATTGAGCTCAAAACCCAGGAATGTGCCCTGACCAGGAATCAAACCATGACCACCTAGTTAATAGATCGACGCTCAACTGCTGAGCCTCGCTGGCCGGGCTTAGCTGCTAAATTTTTATTGCCTCTTAATCTCATCAGTCTTTTTGTCTTGCTTTACTGTGGTAACAAACTTCTGTTACAAGCAATTAAATTAGCACTCCAAGTTCTACATGCAACTTTCTAGTCTCTGCCCTTTGCCTAGAAATTGTTTTGAACCTTTACCCCTGACTCAGAATCCTCTTGTCTGTCCATTTATTTTATCTTCTAAGCCCTTTTTAAAATCATGTCCTTTAGGGAATCTTACATGATAAATCTATCTGACTTAAATCCATTCTATTTAGCGCTTATTTAATTGATGGTATGTTTATTCCCCTATTAGTATATTAACTTTTTAATTCATTTATTCAGTCCTGTCTACCCAACCAGATACTCTCTTTCCATGGGCAGGAACCATAAAACTCACCTCTTGTTCATTTGTATCTCTCCAGTAATGATTTAGGAGTCTGCACACAGTTGATATTCAATGAGTATTATTTTCCCACAGCTTGGAACGTCACCCCTCCACCTTGCAGCCCAGTATGGTCATTATTCCACAGCAGAAGTGCTCCTTCGAGCAGGCGTTAGCAGGGATGCCCGAACCAAAGTGGACAGGACCCCCTTGCACATGGCTGCAGCTGATGGACATGCACACATCGTGGAACTGCTCGTTAGGGTAAAGCAAGAATAGTGGCGGGTCTGTATGGTAAAAAGGACACCTACCTTCCTTTCTTAAACTAGTGGCAGGGAACTAGGTTGGGAAAGATCAAGTTGAGGACAGTTTATAGCATTGAATTGTCTCTCTTTCAAGAGTAATCATGACTATGAGAATTTTGTATTCTAATCTTTTGAAAGCTAAACAGACTTTGTTGGTTTTTCTTCATTCCCTTTCTGCAGGTGTTCTCTGCACTTATGCCTGTTTTTTTCAGACACTCGGCTCTGTTAATAAATGCAACAAAAATCTGTTCTTTTCCTTTTCCTTTCCTTTCTATTATAATTTCCCAGTGATGTCCTTAGAAGACCCACTCGTGGAAGGCAGTATGTCTGTCAGCATCAGGATAATTTGAGAAATGTTTTTCCTTTTGATATTTCTTAAAGGTGACCTAAATTTGAATATGTGTAACCTATGGAAAGTCTCTGTATTGGTGATGGGATCTTGCACCTGTGCTGTTGTAACCAGTGAAACATTACTTTTCTATGACAGAATGGTGCAGATGTGAATGCCAAGGATATGCTGAAGATGACAGCTTTGCATTGGGCCACAGAATACCACCATCGAGATGTTGTAGAGCTGCTTATCAAATATGGAGCTGATGTCCATGCTTTCAGCAAGTTTGATAAATCTGCCTTTGACATAGCCCTGGAGAAGAACAATGCTGAGATTCTGGTCATCCTCCAGGTCTGTATTTTGTTTTTAATCCCCAGAGTATACTTGAATGAAGTTAAGGATTTATTATGGGAGCTGAATCAAAACAGAATTTTCCCTATTGTATCAAAGAAGTACTTCTAACATGTTTTAGTCTTGTGATTCAGTGTCATTAGTATATTTAAATATATATATTCTATAAAGCATTGAATTATTTATGGAGATTGAATAACAGTGTTCGCGGCCAATACAAAAACTAGATTTACTTGGCTTTAGAATGATTGTTTTTCTCCATGAAAATTTTTCTTTCTCATTAAACTTGACTTGGGACTATATTAAAAGCCTCTTTATGTTTTCTAAATGTACATCAACGGATGTGAGAGTACATAGCTCTGAAGCCCATCAAGTCATCTCAGAATTAAAGGAAGCCATCTCAGAATGAAAAGTTAGCTGCCCGGCCAGAGTGGCTCAGTTGGTTGAGCGTTGCCCATGCACCAAAAAGTTGCCAGTTTGATTCCCAGTCAAGGACACATGCCTGGGTTGCGGGTTCAATCCCCAGTCAGGTCATGTATGGAAGGCAACTGATCGATGTTCCTCCCATACATTGATGATTTTCTCTCTCTCCCTCTCCCTCTCTCCTTTCCTCTCTCTAAGCATGTCCTTGGATGAGGGTTAAAAAAAGTTACCTGTGATGGTTCTAACCATTAATTTCTTAAACCAGCACTTGTATATCAGGAAATAACAGGATTAGGAATATAAAGATTAAGAGGACACGGCTCTGCCCTTCGAGTGTTTAGCATGATGACGGTTAGACAAGAAATAAAGCATTACAATACTCTGGTGATAAACAGATATCTACCAACTACTTTTTAAAATATATTTTTATTGATTTCAGAGAGGAAGGGAGAGGAAGAGAGAGAGAGAAACATCAATGATGAGAGGGAACCATTGATTGGCTGCCTCCTGCACGTTGGACCGAGCCCACAACCCAGGCTTGTGCCCTTGACCGGAATCGAACCTGGGACCCTTCAGTCTGCAGGCCGGCCGACGCTCTATCCACTGAGCCAAACCGGCTAGGGCTCTACCAGCTATTACAGGAGCACAGAATAGGGAGTGTTAATGATGCTTAAAGCAAGAATTAAAGCAAGATTCTACATCTGAACTGAGTTTTGAGGGACAAGTGGGCAGAGAAGTGAGAAAATGATATTCTAGGCTAGAAAAAGAGCAAATTAAAGACATAAAGGTGTGAAATGACATGGAATATTCAGGAAAGAGTAAGTAGTTCCCAAGGTCAAGGGAAGTGGAGTTTGGGAGCTAAAGCTTGAGAGTTTGGGAGCTGGGTTCTCAATGTAAGGGGTGTTATATGGCATACAAAGGAGTTTGGACTATTTTGGTAATGGGGATCCAATAGAATTTTTAGAATATAGAATTGATATTAGACTTTTTTTTTTTTTTTTAAGTGAGGGGTGGGGGAGAGAGAGAGAGAGAAAGGGAAATATCGATCAATTGCCTCCCATATGCACTCTGACTGGGGATCAAACCACAACCTATATATGTGCCCTGACCAGGAATCGAACCCATTACCTCTGGTGCACAAGATCATGCTCCAAGCAACTGAACTACACCAGCCATCTTAAAAAAAAGATAATTATTTGGAGTGTGGCGAGATTGGCGAGAAGATTTAATGCTAAAGAACCATATAGTGACTTTCGTTTGGCCAGGCAAGAGCCAAGAGGGCTTGAGTTCAGGAATGATAGTGGAGGATGGAAGAAGGGGCATGTTCAAGAAGGAATTTAACAGTGACCAGAGAATTCATCATCTGTTTTAAGCTGAAGCTCTTAGTCAAGGGAATAATTATATATGAAAACAGATAGACATTTCTGCTGCATTTTCAGTGGCTTGTTTGTCGTTTCTTACAGATGGTTCCCTGTAAACTGGTTATGCTCTTCAACTTTCAATTCCTTGTTTAGAGACCTTTCATAATTGGGACTTTTTAAGTAGTGAACATGTTTGTTTGTAAAAAAAAAACAACACAAAACTGCTTCTGAAAGTAAAAAAAGAATAAAATAAAGATAAGTTTCTTTTCACTGAAATTGTGCAGACATTCCTGGAAACAGAAGTGCAGCATATGAAACTAGACTTTAAAATCTGGCACTCATTTACTTGCTTGTTATATATCCTCTGAGGAATTCTCCAGGGCAGAATGCAACAAGTTGTTGGACAAAACTCTGGAGAATATTCTTCTCCATAGATTCTCTGTAGGGATCTCCTGCTAGCACATTGACTTGTAGATAATTGATCATAGAATATTAGTGCTGGAAATTACTTTTTAGACCACCCCCCTTATTTTCAAATAAAAATACAAGATCCAGAGAGGTTAAATGAATTGTGTAGAAGGTTTTGCACATAATACACCTTGTTTTCTAAAGTAGATATAAGCTTGAGAAAGCAGCCTAACATTTCTGTTTTCCTTGTCAGAAAACAAAAAATAAACAGTGGTCTTAATGAGAACTCTGAGCTCCCTGGGACATTGTGTGCTAGACCTAGTTCTGCTTGACAGAGCATTGGGGGTGAGCATTGGCCCTTCAGCAACTGTGTAACTAAGGTTAATAAGTGTTCTGACTTTAAAATACCCACCTTGTTTTATAGGAAGCAATGCAGAATCAGGTGAATGCTAATCCCGAAAGAGCCAACCCTGTGACTGTGGCTACCCCATTTATCTTCACGGCAGGAGAAGTTGTCAACCTCGCTAGCCTTGTTTCTTCAGCCAACACCAAAACAACCTCAGGTAATATTCTGATAACATGGCATCTATTTTAGACTTAAAATTAACAGAACCCCAGGTTTTCCTATGAGATGAATAGCCTCTCTGATACCCACGCCTTTATTAAAATCTCCCCAAAATAAAGGATTTATAATCAATTTTAAAGCTAATGTATTTATTCTTTCTGGGGGGAGGGAAGGTCATACATAGGGGTTATACCTGAGTGCTTATTGTGTTAAAAGTAAAATATTCTACACATTAATCTGTTGAAGGGTTATACCTGACCCCAAAAATGAAAATAATAGGGGTGCTTCAATATAGTACTACTAAGGAAGATAGTTAAAATATTCATAATCCAAAACATGAACAAAAAAGCCGAAGAAACATAAGTGGTTTTTGGAATGCTGATATAAAAGAGGTACATGTGATTATTTGAATAAAGTATAAGAGTCTTGATTTGTTCTTGAGAACATATATAACAACAAAATAACAAAACATTTGGTGTTGACCTTTTGAAACCTGTATATTTTTAACAGAAACATCTATTTAAAAAGGAAGAAAACTGGCCTTGTTTTCAGTATCTCTTCACAAATATTTGACAACAGAGGCACTTGTGTCCTCATTTAAATAAGTTTTCCAGCTGACTCTTGTCTTTTTTTCGTTTCTGACTTTCATTTAAAAATAAGCAACTGTATTCCTACTTAAGTTTAATATCAAAGGAAGATGTTGAATAAAGTGTTATTACTGAGAGGCAGGATGGTAAAGTAGAGCATATATACAATAAATATAGAATTGTGCAGTCAGATCTGCATTCAGATATTGATTTATTAATTAACTAGATGCTTCACTGTAAGAAAACTACTTACCTAAGCCTTCTTTACATATAACATTGAGATATAATAATATCCACTTTATGAGGTTGTGAGACTTTGATATTTTGTATTTCAGGATCCATTTTATTTTTTATTTTACTTTATTTTTTAAAATATATTTTTATTAATTTCAGAGAAGAAGGAAGAGGGAGAGAGAGAGGGAAACATCAGTGATGAGAGAGAGTTATTGATTGGCTGCCTCCTGCACACTCCCCACTGGGGATCGAGCCTGCAACCTGGGCATGTGCCCTTGACTGGAATTGAACCTGGGACCCTTCAGTCCACAGGTCGACACTATCCACTGAGCCAAACCGACTAGAGCTATTTTATTTTTTATTTTATTTTTTTATTATTGATTTAAGAGAGGAAGGGAGAGGGAGAGAGAAACATCAATATGAGAGAGAATCATTGATTGACTGCCTCCTGCATGCCCCACACTGGGGATCGAGCCCGAAACCAGGGCACATGGCTTGATGGAGAATCAAACCATGACCTCCTAGTTCATAGGTCGTGGCTTAACCATTGAGCCACGCTGGCCTGCCAGTATCCATTTTATAGCAGGGCTTCAGTAATACCAGGAGCTAGTGGAAATTAACTTCTCAGTAAAGATTGACTGTGTCCTGCCCACAAGGGGGCAGTAGTGACCTTCATTTTATAGCTCATCAACTTATTTAATATCATCTTGCTTTCAGCTACTACATGATTAAAAGTATTTAGCTTAAATATACATATACATGTAATCAGAACATTCATAGCCTTTTGGATTTGTAGTGGTTAAGGCCACACTGATTAGAACAAGTGCTTTTACAATCCAAAAGTCTTTAGAAGCTAATAATGTTACATGTTCACAAACATGTGAAAAGAGCTAGAGTTGATCTTTAGTCTAACTACGGAAATTCTCCAGGCCCTGATTTGGAATGATAAGCAAAATTGAAGACACTCGGGATAGAGATTCTTAGACTTGACTCCCATAGGCTTATATCAGGTTTATCGTGTTGCTTTTGACAAACTGCTCTTCTTTCTCTCTTCCATACGGTGACAATTGCAAATCGAAATTGCTAAACTATCGCATAATAAAGCTGATCTCTCTGATGTCATCTTAACCATGAAGCAGTTCTAGCTAGCTCTCCCCTTTAGGGGACTGGCCTACTTGATGCTTAATCAGTACAGATAAAAGTTATTAGACATATTCAAGTTGTGTTATTCAACTGGGCTTAAGGATTTTCTTTACCTGAACAGTAGGTGGACTTCTTATTTCCCATCAACAAGTAATAGGTTCTTTTTCATCCAGTAATATTTTTAAGAATTAACTGATAGAGTCCTAGGAATATCATCCTGATAGATGTTTTTGATACCAAAATCCAGATGACAGCCCAACTGGAGATCACTGTTCAATTCCTGGTCAGGGCACATGCCCAGGTTGCAGGCTAGATCCCCAGTGGGGGTGTGCAAGAGGCAGCCGATCAATGATTCTCTCTCATCATTGATGTTTCTATCTCTCTCTCCCTCTTCCTTCCTCTCTGAACTCCATAAAAATATATTTTTTAAAAATCCAGATTACAAAGTTTGCTTTCAATTTTCCATTTGTGACTAAAGTTATGAGTCATCATGAGTGCAGTGATTTAGGAGGGCAGACTAATTTAAACATAAATCATGGCAAAACAGAGTTATGAAGAGGAATTTCCTGTTTCTGTAGAATCATAAGATGTACTCCAAAGTCAAATATAAATAGCTTTAAATTGGTTCATAAAGAGTACTAGCTCAGAATCTAATGAATTAGATTTTAATCAGGGCTCTGATACTTACTAGCTGCATGACCTTGGGCAAATTACTTAGTTTTTCTGGATCTAGTTTTCACTAACTTACTGAGATTGTCTAGCCTACCATAGCACACTCCCCTAAATCCTGGTCTGAAGAGTTTATTTATGTCACATTTTGAATAGGTAACAAGAATTGGCACTGATAATGCCATTTCTCTTCCAAAAACAACAGTATCCGTGCACATTTTACTTTATTTGATGTTGTGTCTTATATTGAGGAAAAGGAAACAATTAACATTATTAAACAATAAACTACTTTATTTTCCTAGAACTGCCTGAGATAAGTCTAAAGAGGTCATTTGCATTATTTCTTTTCAATTTCAACTGTGTGTCAGAACACTAAACCTGATTTTTCACAAGTATTCATTTTTATTGAATTAAAGGTAGACTACCACCCTGGCCTGGTGGCTCAGTTAGTTGGAGCGTCTTCCCACACACCAAAAGGTTACAGGTTTGATTCCTGGTCAGGGTACATACCTAGGTTGTGGTTCTATCACCGGTACAGGAGGCAACCTATTGATGTTTCTCTCTCACATCCATGTTTCTCTCTCTCTCTCCCTAAAGATCAATAAAAAACACATATCCTTGGGTGAGGATTTTTTTTCTTAAGGAGAGAGTGTACTCTTAGGTTGGAATAATCATATATAATGCTTTTCTCATGAAACAGTTCTATACAGCTATTCTGTAGTTGGGTGGCGTGTGTGTGTGTGTGTGTGTGTGTGTGTGTGTGTGTATTTGCATCCACACGTGTGGGTGTTTTGTGGCCTTGTTTTTTGATTGCTAGTGACTTACTATCACATATAGTCCAACTTCCATGAATGTACATATATTTAAAAATCACTTGTACCTTATTTTTTTCATTTGTTAGTTATTTTTTTATATATATACATATGTATATGTATATATATTTTTAATTGATTTCAGAGAGGAAGGGGGAGGGAGAGAGAGAAACATCAATGATGAGAGAGAACCACTGATTGGCTGCCTCCTGCACGCCCCCTACTGGGGTTGGAGTGCAACCCAGGCATGCCCTTGATCAGAATCGAACCCCGGACCCTTTAGTCCGCAGGCCAATGCTCTATCCACTGAGCCAAACCTGCTAGGGCTCATTTGTTAGTTTTTTGTTTTGATCACTTGTGTATATATATCAGAGAGGGGGAGAGAGAGAGAAACATCAATGATGAGAGAATCATCATCAGCTGTCTCCTGCACGCCCCCCACTGGGTTCATCAGTTGACATTCAATCACCAAGCCTCACCAGCCAGACCATTTGTTAGTTCTTATGCCAGCATTTGTTATGATAGGCTGAGTGATGAGAAAAGCATGAACTAAGCAGAAAAAATAGGGAAAAGGCTGGATCTTGCTCTGCAAGAAGTAATTAAATAGACAGGCTCCTTTCTGGAGGTCAAGCACTGTGTTCTGCTCAGACCATTTGGTTCCCTGAGTATTTTGGAGATATCATCACTATCTCTACCTTTAGCTCCACTCCCACAGTCTTCATCCAAAAGCTTTAAGATAGTTTGCAGCTATGAGAAGTATATAAGTAATCTACCTTTTAAAGGAAATTCTTCTAAAATTTATAAATATGTTAGATTACCCAGAGTAATCATATCGGAAGAAGATTCTTTACTCTGTGGGAAGATTTATTATAAAGAGCGTTATATAGGAGTTGCAAGTATTTTTAAATATTTTACAAATAACTGGGTGTTTTTTTTTAATGCTTCTATTTTGTTTGTTTGTTTTTGTTAATCCTCACCCAAGGATATTTTTCCAATGATTTTTAGAGAGAGTGGAAGGGAGGGGGAGAGGCACAGAGAAATATACATGTGAGAGAGACACATTGATTGGCTGCCTCCCACACAAGTCCCGACTAGGGCCAGGGATTCAGCCTGCAACTGAGGTATGTGCCTTTGACTGGAATTGAACCTGGAGTCCTTCAGTCTGTATTTCAATGCTCTATCCACTGAGCCAAACTGGATAGGGCTTTAATGCTTTTTTTTTAAATTATGTTTTTATTGATTTTTAGAGAGAGAGGAAGGGAGAGGGATAGAGAGATAGAAACATCAGTGAGAGAAAAACATCATCAATTGGCTGCCTCCTGCACAGCCCCTACTGGGAATCAAGCCCACAACCCGGGCATGTGCCCTGACCCAGAATCAAACCATGATCTCCTGGTTCACGGATCAACACTGAACCACTGAGCCACACAGACCAAGCGAAAAGCTGAGGTTTTGATTTAATAAGGCATCTCAATCATTTTAGTTCATCTCAATTTTATTCTCTTTGCTGGACCTCATTTGCCTTTTTTACTGAAATAGGTGACCCCCATGCCTCCTCAACAGTACACTTCTCAAATTCTACCACCTCAGTGCTGGCCACCCTTGCAGCTCTTGCTGAGGCATCAGCTCCCCTCTCCAACTCACACAGAGTCACAGGTAGGTAAGGGATAGCTGCTGGTTGAATCACCATTTTTTCTTTTGTTCTTAAATCTCCAGCAGATTTCTTTTGCGTGAAATATTAAAGACTTATGGTTAGAGACAACTAGGAGAAAGGATGTAGTCATGGAGCATCAGAAAGAAAAATCACTACGTGCTATAATCAGACAGCTGGATATTATCAGAGAATGACTAAGTTATTCCTTTGATGATTTTATTTATTTATTTTTTTGCAGTTTGAAGTTTGTTTTCTCTGACTCCAGTTGCTTCAGATTGAAATATCTTAGTCTTATATAAGCAGACTTTCTGGAAATACTCTATGTTATATTGTGACTGATGCTATCATAGAATGATTCAAAATAGCAGCCTAGGTATCTTGTATTATATTAAAGCATCAATATGCATGGGATGCTACCTCTCTCACTGTCACATCTCTGTATTGCAGGTTGGCTTGGGTTTTCTTCCCCTGGAGATGCTATTTTGGCATTTCCAACGGAATTGGGCAAATACATGCTACATAGTGCCCTTCTGATATTTAAAACAAAAAGGTTTCAAGTCAGTTAGTTAGAGATAGTGGTCTATTGGGAAAAGGCTGAGAGCTTCATGTAGGTAGAGGCAGACAGTTATAGGTATGGCTAAATAGTCATTTGGGAGTCTTTCTGGAACCCTCTACACAGAGTGCTCCATCCAAAATGAAAGCAGTTTGTTCTGATTTCTTTCTGCCATTGACATTTGGGTAGTGAGAACATTCTTCCAATCCTGTTTTTCCAACTGGCAGCAATCAAAAAGATCTCTCCTCAGATGTGTATGGGTGAGCACCATGGCAGAAGGAGAACAATATATTAAATTTGTGCTTGTTTTCTTTGATCTTGAATAAATCCCCTTTTCAGGTCTCAGTTTCCTTGTTTCTAGCATGATGGTTAGATTATCTATCAAGGTCTTTCATCTATTATCATTTAACTGTTCTTGTTTCTAAGGGGTATGAATGCTCTATTTCCATTGAATTACATGAATATGTCTCCTATGGATAGTTCATACCCCACTTATTGTAAAGTTCTGCTTGTGATTCTTTAGATAGAAGAATTCCATTGTGGCAGGAGCTGTTTCCCCTAATAGTTATTGAGGACATTGACTAAGCAACTGAAAATCTTGACTCAACGTAATACATGTAAACTTCCTAGAAAGGTTCTGGTACATAGTAAGTAGTCAGTGCGCTCTGACTACTTAACATATTGTTAATTCACTATTAAATGTCTCTATTTCTGTCTAGAAATAGATTTACTCTAATTTATAGTTACTTTTCTAAGCTTTATAGAGTTAGACTTTCAAGATGCTTCCTGGGGAAAAAAAGTTTTAAGATCAAACATGTTGGGGAAACTTAGCATATCTTATCCCATATTGGAGAATCCTAGTGCTCATTAGCTTGTTGGGGTCTCTGATACTTCCCACAAAACAAACAAAAAAGTCTAAGCATATTTAAACCAGAATTTTGAGAATATATTAGTACATAGAACCCATCTTTAGTGAACGCTATTAACATCTCAATGAAGACATTTTAGAGAATATGTTTAATGCATTCTATATTTCTTTTCTCCTCTGACTTAGCATTGTCAGAGTTTGCTTTTCTGTACTGCTAAATCTAATGTGTGTTTTTTCTAGTTTTCCTATACTCAATATTACCAATTTCAAGGAGGCTGAAATTGCTATACTTAGGTTTTCTAAAGAGCTAAAATCTTAAATTTACTTTTGTTGTCTTTAGCTAATTCAGAGGAAATCATAGAAGGAAATTCTGTTGACTCATCAATCCAGCAAGTGGTGGGGAGTGGAGGACAGAGGGTGATCACCATAGTGACCGACGGAGTGCCTCTGGGTAATATCCAAACTGCAATTCCTACTGGAGGCATTGGCCAGCCATTTATTGTAACTGTGCAAGATGGACAGCAAGGTGAGTTATCCCATTAGACAGTTGTTTATGAAAAGATATTTTAGCCCCAGTCAGTTTGGCTCAGTGGATAGAGTGTCAGTCTGTGGTTTGATTCCAGTCAAGGGCACATACCTTGGTTGCAGGCTCCTCCCTTGCCTGGACCCTGGTCAGGGCTCATGCAAGAGGCAACCAATCAATGTGTTTTTCTCACATTGATATTTCTCTCTGTCTTTCCCTCTCTCTTCCACTCTCTAGAAATCAATGGAAAAAATATCCCCAGGTGAGGATTAAAAAAAGAAAGGTATTTTAGACACTCAATTCTCCTCTAAAAATGAGGTATTAAGGCAAGTAGTAGGAATGGGAGAATGCCAGATGCCAGATGGGGCAAAGAAGCTCCAAAAAAGAAACAGAAACCAGGCTGGCAAAGCGAATTTCTCTAATATATAATAAAATTTGTAAGTAAAAACCGTAATCTGGTAGAAAGAGCAAATGATATGAACCAGTAGATCACAGAAAGAAAATACTGATGGTTCTTAAAAATATGGAAATATGTTCAGCCTACTTCATTTGTATAAGAAATGCAAATAAATACTGCACTGAGATACCATTATAATATTATGCTGTCAAATGATGGTTGTTGGAGCCAATTCATCGCCATGAGGAATCCCCAACTTGGGATGCAGTGAAGAAGGAAACTTTATTCAGTGCAAACAACTCAGTGGTGATACTGCACGGCTGTGAAAACAGCACAACTGTGAAACAGCACGGCTCTGGAACAGCTCAGTTGTGAGGCAGCCCCCAGGACCAGCCCCCTCTTCAGCTAGGCATCTCTGATCTGCTCCACTCTGCGCCAGTCTGCCTCTCTGCTCCTGTGCCAGTCTGCTTTTCAGTGTTTCAGCTCTAGCCAGGGAATTGCAATCTTCAGTCTTCAGTAGAAAGGGCAAATGTGCTCCCCACCCAGAGGGGAGCTGAACTGGTGGTTGCCAGAGGGGAGCAGGATTGGGGGACTGGGTGAAAGAGGTGAAGGGACTAAGAAACACAAATTGGTAGTTAGAAAATAGTCATGGGGATGCCCTGGTCAGTGTTGCTCAGGGATTGGAGCATCTGCCCGCAGACTGAAGGGTCCCAGGTTTGATTCTGGTCAAGGGCATGTACCTCATTTGCAGTCTCAATCTCCAGCCCCAGTCGGGACATGTGCAGGAGGCAACCAATCGATGCGTCTCTCTCATATTAATGTTTCTCTCTTTCTATCTCTCCCCCTCCCTTCCATTCTCACTAAAAATCAATGGAAAAGCCCTAGCTGGTTTGGCTCAGTGGATAGAGCGTCAGCCTGTGGACTGAAGGGTCCCCGGTTCAATTCCGGTCAAGGGCACATGCCTGGTTGTGGGCTCGATCCCCAATAGGGGCGGGGGCAGGAGGCAGCTGATCAATGATACTCTCTCATCATTGATGTTTCCATCTCTCTCTCCCTCTCCCTTCCTCTCTGAAATCAATAAAAATATATATTAAAAAAAATCAATGGAAAAAATATCCTCAGATGAGGATTAACCAAAAAAAAAAAATTCTGCCCTAACCGGTTTGGCTCAGTGGATAGAGCATCAGCCTGCGGAATCAAGGGTCCCAGGTTCCATTCTGGTCAAGGGCATGTACCTTGGTTGCAGGCACATCCCCAGTAGGGAGTGTGTAGGAGGCAGCAGATCGATGTTTCTCTCCCATCGATGTTTCTAACTCTCTATCCCTCTCCCTTCCTCTCTGTAAAAAATCAATAAAATATATTTTAAAAAAAAATTCTGTGAAGACATCAGGCCTTCTTTAGACAAGTTATTCCTACAGAATCATAAGCTAATTGGTCATAGTTCCTGACATCTTTATATAAGAGTCTCAGACCTGGGTCTTAACTGCATGGCTTTCAAACCTGTCCATCTTTACATTTCCTTTCAGAGACCTTCTTAGTGCCTCTCTAATCCTTTCTGTTTCTCTCTGCAGGGCCATGATTTACCTGCTGATTCTAAAAGCCAAAGGTGTATGAAAAATAAGATATCAGAGAATATATTTCAGTTTATTTTCTAATTTGAAACAAGCAAAACCTCTTTGTTTTACAATGTATTCATCACCTTCAATTGGTGTCCTTTGGCTTGTAGTTCTAACTGTACCTGCTGGTCAGGTTGCAGAGGAGACTATAATTGAAGAAGAAGAGGAAGAAGAAGTGGAGAAGTTGCCATTGACTAAGAAACCAAAGGTAGAAGAGATGACAGACAGTGTGGAGGAGAACAAGGTAATGTTTTTAGCAGTGTGGAGAGAAGAGAAGGGAAAGAATCAAAAGCCAAAACTTTTACCTTTTGTGTGCACTCTGGACACGGTGATCAGGAATTCTGAGCTGGTGCTGATGTGGTTTACTTTCACAGGAAGGCACTGAAAGAGAACTACTACAGCAGCAGCTCCAGGAGGCCAATCGAAGAGCCCAGGAATACCGACACCAGCTCCTCAAGAAAGAGCAGGAGGCAGAACAGTACCGCCTCAAGCTGGAGGCCATGGCCCGACAACAGCCCAATGGAGTTGATTTCACCATGGTTGAAGAGGTGGCTGAGGTAGATGCTGTAGTGGTCACAGAGGGGGAGATGGAAGAGAGAGAGATGGAAGTGACTGGGGCGGGAGGGACCACAGAGCCTCATCATGGAGTTTCCATAGAAACTGTTTCATCTTAACGTACAAGGGCCACAGTTTGTACTACGTCCATTTTTTTTCTCTTTTTAAAAGAAAATACAGAGGACAAACCTTGTTTAAAAATTAAGAATTTCCTTAAGAAGAAAACTATAGCAGGGTATAATGCTTGGGCTCAGGAAGGCTCTCTATGCAACTGGAAAAATCAAAGCCAAATTTAGGGAACACTTCTTTTGAGAGGCCAAAAAAATAAGGACCAAATTTCCCAGCTTACGTCATTGCTTTAAGCGTAGAGGTAAAAGAATGCTGCATGTTGTAGGTTGGTTGGTTGTTGCAATAACTGACTTTTTATCAAAAGATTTTACTTTCTGTTAAAAATTTTTTCTAAGATAACATTCCTAATATGGACCCACCCAGATCCTTTAATAGTTGCACCATCAAGTGACCTGAAAATTTGCCTTAGATTTATGATGTATGTCTGTTACAGAAGAAAACTAATTGGGAGGGAGGTTAGGAGCAAGCTTTGGGGAAGAGAAAGGAATATATTCCACTTCCAAAGGAGCAAGCGATCCCCACTATTCAGTTAATTTCACTGAAAATAATTTGTGATTGCCTGACTAAATTTGCATCCATTGTGTGTCCATAGCTCAGCTGCCAGTTTAAGAAACGGAAATATAATTTTTTAAAACTGGAAAGAAAAGTCGTTTATGTGAAAAAGTGTATGTAAATCCAAAATCCTCCAGGCTGCGCTTTCACAATGCTGGAAAGTGGCCAGAAAGAGGCTCCTTGGGGTTATGAAACAACCTGATGTTGAGATACAAACTTTGCTCTGGCTGGATTTTACAAAATTGCAATCAGGATGATAGTCTGTTGTTAGAACAACTTGCTTCCAAACATTTATTTATGTAATATCAAGCTTTAATAGCAATTCTTTAATTTTATAAAATTTTGTTGAGTTTTCTAAATGTGCCTTTCTGTAGCGCTTACATGGTATCCTCTTCTATGCAATAAAGGAAGGGGGAGAGAGACGAATGTTGAAGATGTTGTGTTGTTTTGTTGCCATTTGATTTGGGATGAGTAGATTGCCCTGTTTCCTTAAGGTAGGACCTTATGGAGAGCTTTGTGCCTTATAGCTGCTCATTGTGTGCTGTCAAAGGGAGTAAGAACTGTCAGTGCCTAGAGTAGGGAACCAAAGATTCTGGCGAGATACTTCATCGGCCTTACTCCCTTCTCGCCCACTATGCCTGCTGCCTTTGCCTACACACTTTTGGAAAGTGTTTCATTGCTTGGATTCTTTGTGTGCCAGCTTGGAGATTTTTCAAAAGAAAGTCAATATAGATGGAGAGAGAAAGGTGGTGGAGAGGTTACATTACAGAGGAATTGGGCCCCCATCGTTCTTGACTTGCTTGCTTGCTTTGTTGTAAATGACAAGAAGAAACCAGGGGGAGATGTGCCAAGTAAACATTTGAGTGACTGTTTAGAATATGGTTTTATTAGTGATCATAGGGAAAACATACATTTTTAATTTGGAATAAAACTTGACAGTTAATATGGTTCTCTTTACCTTGATTAGTGAAGTAATTTGCCACAATTTTCAGGAGGTGAAAAATCATTCGGGCTCAAAATAAACTGAAAACATAACTCCCCAAACCAAATTTACAAACAGAATTGGCTTTAGAGGCTTCTAGGCAAAAATGTCAGTTTTGAAATGAATCTTGATGACTTGCCACCTTAACTTGGTTTTCCCGAGGGACTTGAGTACCAAGCATTTCCCAGCTGGCCAGAGATTACTCTGGGCTGTTGGGATGATGGAGAAATGCAGTGGAGGAGGCTAGGTAAGGGTGAGGATAAAATTATGGTATCTGCTGTCAAATTGTCCGTTTCTATTTGTGATGTGTGTGTTTTCTGTCCTTTTGTGAACCAGGTGCTAACAATAAGCTGCTATTGTGTGCCATTTCAGAGCCTTAGCTTAACTATAGATGCATCAAGTGTCATTTTAGATGTGTTTTGTTTATGTTCTTAATGTATATGTTGACTTTAATTTCTTTTTTTCTGCCCTGTTATGGGTTGGAGGTGAACACTGCAGAAGATATCCAGGTCCAGCCACCTCATTCTCTAGGCAGCTTCTGATTGGCAGTGGGGAGCTTCCATCCAACATTCCCTTTTGAGCATACAGAGTCCCTACTGCTTTGGGGAGCTGTTTATCTGTTCTTATCTTTCTATAGGAGGCTATCATTCCTACACACAAACAATAGTGAATACAGCCCAAGTCATTTTTTATTATGGGGTCTCTGAGATTGGGTTGGGATAAGGAGAGAGAGAAGGGAAATATTGGGAAAGGGGTGGGTAGCAAAGAGGTATTTGTTTTTATTTACTTGGAATAGAGCTTTTAACATCCCAGAGAAGGGAAATAAGATTTGATCTCCAGTTGTATTGCTGTAGAGAGAATGGTAAGTCAGGATCCCTTGAAGTAGTTAGAAGTTAAACACTAAGTGCATTAATGGCAATGCCATTTTATGATTTTGCATTTCTTTCGGGATCAGCCATGGAAATTGGGAAAATGTTGCTAGATTTTCTGGGTTAGAGAATTTCAACTGGCCTTTGGCAAGGTTGGATTACAGAGAATCAAATAACAGTCAAGTGGTTCAGAGTTGGTACTTGAATAGAAGGAACCTGGAGCCTAGGATGATTGCCTGCTTTAAAATAAAGCTGCTTTCATAATATCAGTATTAATATAGGACTTTCACACTCTACCTTTGCATTTTGATCTTAAGCCTACCCCTCAAGTAGAGAAAAAAATAAATCGTTGCTGTCCTTGTTCCTGACTTCAGGAAAATTACTATAAGTGTGTAAGTGTCCCTTCTCTTCCTATCACTACCTCTGTGGGATCTCTTCATTGTAATGCCAGAGTTGAGGTCTTTTAACTGAAATATTGGAAAACTTGGCCTTAGGTTTTCTATGTTTTTAATTCAGTGCCTTAAAGGATGGTCTTTTTCTCTGTCAGATCTGTGTTCAGTTATTTTTGGCTTTCCCTTTCCCCTTTCTTCAGCCTTACCCTTGTGTTATTAAAATTCGTGTGTCTGCTCAATAATGTTAGAAATATATGGCATACAAAATTTCTTTCTTTCTTTATACTGATAAAAAAGAAAGAACTCACCAGAGGGCTTTTCCAGTTGAAATTAGGTATCGTGTGACCAGGGGTATGTATGTGTGTGTGTGTGTGTATAACATATATATATTTAATTGATTTTTATAGAGAGAGAGGAAGGAAGAGAGAGAGAAACATTGATTGGTCTCCTGCCAGGGCTTTTTTCCAATCCTCACCCTAGAATATGCTTAGAGAGAAGAAGGAGAGAGAAAGGGTGTGTGTGTGTGTGGGGAGAGAGAGAGAGAGAGAGAGAGAGAGAGAGAGATTGGTTGCCTTCTATATGCTTCCCCAATCAGGAATCAAACCCACAACCCAGGTATGTGCCCTGACCCAGAACCGAACCGGCAACTTTTTGGTGCACAGGACAACACTCAACCAACTGAGCCATGTCAGCGGGGCATGACCAGGGCCTTTTAATGCCCCTTTGCTGGGTGTATATTAGTGTGTATGTTTATAAATGTATATGTATTTTCTCACTTTTCTCTTTATTTGAGGTTCAACTCTCAAGTACCTGGTATAACCTGGAAATATTTTAGATCATTAAATGCATGAGAGAGGGTTTCTTTTGTAACCACTAAAGAGCTGGAGGAAGAAAAATCATTGCTTTGGCTCTTCTCTGAGAGTTGTGCTCTAACAGGTAGTCATGAGAAACCTAAGGAGTGAGGCCCCAGGGAGAACCAGGACCTGGCTTTACAGAGATTTGATTAGCGTATGGTGTGATGACCCCGGGGAAGCTAACAGATTCAGAGCAGTGTTGAGGTAGAGGTGGAGCTGCCCTTCCACAAAGCAAGCCTCCTCTCCACTCCTCTGGCAGCTGTTTTGACTAGCACTTGTTCGGTCTCTTACACCTCCCTGCTGCTTGTGCAGACATCTCTGTGTGGCCAGAAAAGGAGCTTAAGAATGGAATACAGCCCTAGCTGATTTGGCTCAGTGGATAGAGTGTCAGCCTGTGGACTGAAGGGTCCCAGGTTCGATTCCAGTCAAGGGCACATGCCTGGGTTGCGGGCTCGATCCCCAGTAGGGGGCGTGCAGGAGGAAGCCAATCAATGATTCTCTCTCATCACTGATGTTTCTATCTCTCTCCCCCTCTCCCTCCCTCTCTGAAATCAATAAAACTATTTTTTTTTTTAAAGAATGGAATACATGTCAAGACCACCCCTATGCTGTTCTAGGCTCTTATCTATGTCCATTTTATGTGATGAATATTTTCCCCTTCTGAGTTAGTACTCTTATTTCCTATGCCAATATATTGAGCAAGAAGAATATAAATTTGAATTAAGTAGCTTTGAGCCTCTGGTGCTGCCTTTTATTTTCTTTTTTGAGCCTCTCTAGGATTAGAGGGTGGGTGACATTCTTAGACTCTGTAGTAGCAATTTGGTTCGTTAATGGCAGGAAATTGTGATTCCCTATCTCTGTCTCCTCCCCTTTCCCGTATTACTTCTGTTTCTGTGACCCCATTGTTCTTATCTCATTGAGTCTTTCCCAGGAACTAGAACTTAATTAGTCATTTCTAATCTATGGGCCTGTCTTTCCTCTTTCCACTCCCCTCTATCCCTACTACATATTTTCTGTTTATTCTGAAGTGGTTTGTTTCTGAGAATTTAGGTCATACTCTATAATACTGTGCTTCCTAGTTGGTTTCAGGCATCTTGTTCTATCAATAATGATAGCAGCTCCCTTCTCTGGCTTTGCCCTGTATACTGACCTGTCAAGGCCGTTTGTGTTGGGCAGAGGATGGGGGTGTGGGAGCAGGGTATTGGGAGGGAGAGGAGAGGAAGACTGGTAGGGTGCCTAGATACTTCTTAAAATGTCCTCCATTCTTCAGGTTGTCTGACAGCTTTATGTACAGTATGTTTTCAGAAAAAAAATATACTTCTCTTTTTTATTTAGAATTTTAATAAAATAGGGTTTGATTCTGATGAGCAAGTTTGTGTATATGTATGTAGGGGTGAGTGAGCATTTGTGTGTATATACACCTATACAGATCTATATTATATATACAACTTTTGTACTGTCATTTAAAATAAAGATGTTTCTTAATAAAATATCAAAGTCTTAAACCATTTCAGGGTGTCATTGAAATTTTTTACATCTCCTGGGCAAAAACTGTATCTTCTCCCTGATCACAGATAAATTTCAGAACAGTCATGTGCCACATAACGATGGGGATATGTTCTGAAAAATAACGTCTTTTAAAAAATATACATCTTGCCGAAACCGGTTTGGCTCAGTGGATAGAGCGTCGGCCTGCGGACTCAAGGGTCCCGGGTTCGATTCCGGTCAAGGGCATGTGCCTGGGTTGCGGGCACATCCCCAGTGGGAGATGTGCAGGAGGCAGCTGGTCGATGTTTCTCTCTCATCGATGTTTCTAACTCTCTATCCCTCTCCCTTCCTCTCTGTAAAAAATCAATAAAATATATTAAAAAAAAATATATATACATCTTTAGGCAATTTTGTTGTTGTGTGAACATCATAAAGTGTACTTATACAAACCTAGATTGTATAGCCCACTACACACTTAAGCTATATGGTAATGCTGTTGCTCCTAGGTTACAAACCTATACAGGCTGTTACTCTACTGAATACTGTAAGCAACTGTAACACAATGGTATTTGTGTATCTAAACTTAGGAAAGTCCAGTAAAAATGTGGTTTTAAAGATGAAGAATGGGCCCCGGCCAGTGTGGCTCAGTGGATTGAGCGTTGTCCCATGCACCAAGAGGTCACTGGTATGATTCCCAGTCAGGGCACATGCCCCGGTTTCAGGCTTGATCCCCACTAGGGGGCATGCAGGAGGCAGCCGATTGATGTTTCTCTCTCATCGATGTTTCTGTGGGGGTGGGGGTGGGGGCTTATGTCTTTATTTGACAAAAACGGTGAGTCCC